TGAGACTGGGAGAAACGTCCCTGCAGCAAGGGAACTTTCTCTGAGAAGATGTTTTCTTGTTGAGGGAGTTCTCTTTTAAACATGAACCCCTGAAGCCCTCTGTTCCTCACTGTCTGGGCAGGTGCTTCCTCTATATCTACTCAAAGCTTTCCTAACCAGAGAAAGAGGAAATCCACAAAGCTGTCTGGGTAGCTAGAGCCACACTGTGCGCTTTGGCAGCAGCTGAGGTGGTGTCAGGCTTGTTCCTGCTTCTTTTTTGCAAGTAAGATGGTGTTGTGAGGGGCATTTGGAGCTGTGGCCTTTGGTCATGGGCTGGAGAAAGGGTTTCCTGCCCATGGAGACATGCAGTGTAGGGGATCAAACAAGCCTGGTAAACTTCACCTGAGGATGCTAAAAAAAGTCTAAATCCACCCCAGTATAATAATTATCGGTTGTCTTCAGAACACATGAGATCTGGGTTAAGTAGTGAAAGACAGAGATGACAAACATAGTGGTTGTGTCTGTGGGAGTCGGGGAGCAGAAACTAAGTAGCTGTAGATCAGCTGTCTTCTTTTCTTTGCACAGAAGGATCCTGGAAGAACTAACCGAATGCGTGAGGCTGCGAACAGCCAAAGGTGGTTTGAGTTGTTCTTGAAAATCCATCTGATTTTTCCTATGTGAGAGAGTAACAGGTCTCACGGTCAGAAAAGTGGCATTAGAATACCACAAACGTGTTTAAAGCTTTACTAAAATAACCACTGCATGTGATTGCCATCAGGGAGCTGAGGCAATTGCTCTCTCCAAGTGCTCTGGAGTAGGGCACTGACTGGGTACCAGAGCAGGGGTGGTTGATCACTGTCAGAAGGAAACAGCGCACGGTTTGTTTCTGGATGTGCTCTTTCCTCCTCTTTTTGGGAACGACTGAAAATACTTTGCGCTTCTACTAATGATCTGAAAGAGAAGAAAGAGTTCTTGTTAAAGCTGCAGACAGCTTGAAACTGGAAAGATCTGCAAAAATATTAGAGGACCAAATGATTTCCAAATACTCCTGTGAAATGCAGAAAAGAATATTTGCTGGGAAGATGTGCAAGGTACTGTGCTTAGAGAGGTATACAACTGCAAGGGATAAAGGACAGTCACGTTCGTAGTGAGGAGAGCCACAAATAGTGAGATTGAACTGCAGGGAGAAAATCTTTGGAATGAAGGGACACAAGGTGTGAGAATGAAGGTGCCTTTGGTTACTGACTCACCATTTTTGCAGGCTGTTAAGGACTGTTTGGGCATATGTCTGTCATGAAGAGCAGCTGTGGTGTTGATCCAACTCCGAAGAGAATAGCTTATATGGCCTTAGGAAGTTTCTTCTAGTGCTTTACAGCCATTTTGATTTTTATAGCTAAAGAGAGCAGAAACTGTTGCCTGCAATGACTACAGAGTGCTCTTGTGAGGAAGTTTTAGAATGAGTGGGGTCAAAAATGTCTCCTTAGTGGGAAGACAAGCCTTGTATGAAAGGCTGGCCACAGTGTTCAGGGCCACCTGTGAGCTTCTGCAGCGTCAGCAGCTTAAGAGGAAATCTAGCTCAGACAGGACGCAGTTTTTATTGTGCCATTCTGACTACGTCCTTGGTTTACCTAGCTGTTGGATTAAAAATACTGAATTCCATGTTGCCCCTCTGTTTTGGAGAGCTGTCTCCCAGATTTGGATCCTGAATGGTTTGTTGGTTAAAACGTATGTATTTGCATTCCAAATATCAGAAGGAGTCACGCTGCAAATTGGGTTCTATTTTGTTCTTAGGTCAAATGGGTTGTCACAGCAATATTACATACGGATCAGTCAGTCAGGCTGGCTGCCCTATTTCTTGTCCTACAGCCTTTCTGATTTACTAGGCAGACATTGAAAGCTCTCACAGTATTATAACCACTATGTATATTAGTGCAGAATATTAATAAATAATTCTTGTTTTAGGAAGAAAACTCAGTCATAGCTAAGAGGAAATCAGGGCTTTAGTTTATATTTCAGCATAGACTCTGAGCTGATGTTATTTTCAATGACAGTTGATTTGGTATGCTGAAGACATGAAGTTTATTTGACTGTATATCTGTTGGAAGACTTCTTGCAAGATGAATAACCTAAAACCATTCTAAAGATACCTCTTTAACCACTGCAATGAGCACTCATCGCTCTTGATAGAAACTCTGGCCCCAGGAGGAGATGATACTTCTAAATCTTAGGATTTAAATTGTTATATCACCCAGTAGTGAGAATGACTTACCATTCCTGAACCTTTTAAAGCTTTTAGTAAGTATGGAGAAACTATGTTAGATGCTAACGTTGTACATGTTATATTACTTCCATGTGCTGGCATTGCTTGGATTTTGCAGGTCACAGCAGTCAAAAATCATGTTTGCTCTGAAATTTTAGTGCCTGTGAATGAGTTTGTCTTTATGAAAACTTGTATTGTCTTGTTTGTTTGTTTGTTCCTAAGGACTATCTTTGCTTTCTTGGGTTGTTTCCAGCTTTCAAACTACATTTATTTCTGTGTGAGACCAATGAAATACCACAGTGGAACTTTTAGATATGTACACACCCGCACACTGAAGCAGCAGTTCGCTTACACGTTGGTTTAGATGTGGGTTGGCTGGGCTCTTTACTTGTTTTGGTTGTGAGCTGCTGAAGGCAACATCTTTTGGAAGCTTGTCAGCTTGTATACCAGACGAACAGAGGTTATAGATTTCATGAAAATCTTGGGTTTATTTTGGAGTGTTTCAAGTTCAGAGGATGAATGGGAGCATAGAATTAAACAAAACGAATCTTATGCAAATAATAACGGCTTTATACTATCCAACCTGGTTTTGGATGATGAGAAAGGATTGGGGGGATTATGCTTTACTTGAACAAGTAATATTTTATCAACCAAGACAGATTTATTTTAGATCCAAAGATCCTTTAAAATCAAAGTCCAGCAAATAACCGAGAAGGTGATATACTTACTTCACCGTATAAAATTATTTTGACTTATGCTCTATAAATAGTATAACCATTTCTTATTACTGATGTTAACAGCTTGTAAGTATCATCTGTAATCTGAAATTGATTTTTGGTCACGCTTCTCATTTAGATGTCAGTGTGGAAAAGTGGAAGTGGTAGAAGCAGTTTCCCCAGCAGCTGTTGTATCGATGTGCTTTCATGGCAGTACAGACTTTGCTGTCAGCTACCTTTTTTTTCCTTGATTTTAACATACTTGCCCAAATCTAAGCTAATTATTTTAGTAGAGATAACTGTAAGTGTGAAACCTTTTCATATATGTAAAATACAAATCAAGGCGTAATAATTCCTCATTGTTATAAACAAACCTGACATATTTATAAAGCTAATGTTACAGACTTTAGTTTTATTGCAGATAGTCAGAACAGTATGTGTATGAAATGAATTATTGTCGGTTATTGTGGGACGCTAATGTTACAAAAGTGCAAAGTCAAGGTAGTTAATCCTTGGAAGTTATAATTTCCTGTAATTAATTATATGACTCTACTTCAAATGTTAAAAAATTGTCTAAAAATTACTTTCATGTGGAAATGTGAATCTCAGCACTATTCTGAATAATTGTTGTGTTCTAAAACTGGAGAGCAATAAAACAATTTCTAGACTGATTCTATTTTGAATACTATAAATATTTACTTTTTTTTTTTTAGCCTCTGTAATCTACCTACCTATACGAGTCCCTGGTTTAAATTTGTTTCTTATATTAAATACATTTTCAAGGCAATTTTATGATGTCAGGCTAAAATACCTTGATGTTAAAAATTAATTCAAACTCTGATGATAGCTTTGAACACCTTCGAAAATTTTTTCTTCAGAATGGTGTTCTTTTTCTTCAAATGGTGGGTGCTGCTTTGCTCACCTCACGAATTACATATTCTTTCACTTTAGAAACACAAGCCCGGAAGGCAAACAGTCTTTGGGACTGTTTGTAGGCAGTTTTTTCTTGAATGGCAGGTTTGATCCAGTATCCTGGCCCTTAAGATAAACTGTATTAAATATAAATTACTCTAACTGACATAAACAACATTTGTACCTACATCTGGATTTTTTTGCTGCAACTAATTTCTCTGTTCACAGTTGGTCTTGGAGATGCTGTTATACATAGTTAGTCTGCTGCAATGCAGGCTTTGTAAAATCTGTAAATTTGCCAGAATTAAAGAGAATTAAGACTGTTCTCCAGTTGAGATAAAGTATGAAGGTGAATTAGCAACTCCCCTTATTCTAACGTGGGATTTCTGTCGTTAGTGTTTTTTTCCTCTGATCGAGGTGGAAAAATGAATGTAAAAATTCTTTCTTGTAGTGTTTCCACCAGTTCTCAGACTATGTCTCTGCTGTCACAGCTGGAGAAGATCAATTTGGATTCTGTATTAGGAGAAGCAGACAATGCCAGATATGTTACCTCAGAGATCCTTCATCTGGTTCAGAGTCAAGGTAAATATCTCAGTTTTATGGTTTTAGTAGTTTTTGTTTTGATGAGCCTTCCTTCTCGTATTTCTTCTGAGGTGGACTTTAATTGTTGTTTCTGTTCGGTGGACTTGATTAGCCATCTGCTTTTGTCACTGATTGTTTAAAGCACCTGTTTAAGGCCATGTTTAATGTTGTCTGATATAGTATTGGTTACACTGAGTGCATTTTGTATTGTCAAACAGCTATAATTTAAGTGATAATTCACAGTATACATGTGTATATATATACGAGAAGTAGAAGTATCTGGAAGAGAGCTTTCTTACAGATTTTACCTTTACAGTGTTTTTTTCTAGGACAAATTGTTGAACAAGTGAAAGCAAAAATGAGATTTAAAGTCACTTAAATCTTTGATTTATTTTAGTTAGTATTATCTACATATATGCAGTTTTTAATAGATTTTATTATTTACAGTGTAGTGTAGATTTTCTGATCAATCTGTATGTGATCACAGGGCATTTTGCCCACAAGCTAGTATATTAAAAGAAAAATGGTCTTTTTCTGACTGGCAGAAAAAAACAAGGAGGAGATGACTTCTAAGGGCTCCACTGGAATAGAAGTTATCCTGTCAGCCCTAGAGGTAAAACCTTCCGATCTGTGTGGTTATGGGTACGTAGCAAGTTTTCATTTTATCACCGGGCTTTGTATTACTACAAATACGTTGTTATCCTATCTAGTCTCCAACACTTGTGTAGGACTGTGATGATTAGATATGGTCTAGTTAAGAATTTCTCTCCCTTATTTTTAAATATTGTAAGAAATTAGTTGTCAATTATCAGTTCTAATTAATATGCCATATTGCAAACTAAATTTTAATTGTTTTTTTTTGGTTAATTCAGGCTGCATAGTAGATGATTAGCTGGGTGGTTACATCTTAAATTCTGTTTGATTTAGTGGTGGCAGTTTCTCTGAGCTTGTAAGTATTTAAACCACTGTATTAGACTTCTACATTAAGTAAAGAAATCCCTCTATTTTACATTGCAGAATACAAAAGATCCTCAAAGTATTCGAAATATATTGAATATCCTCATTGAGATTGTGTCAGTTGGTAAGTTTTCATTAAGGAGCAGTTTTCAATTTGTGATTATATTCCTGTATTCTTCTGCAGAAGTTGTGTTTTTCCTTTGGGAGGCAGGTTTGTGTTTGTTTAGTAATTTTTTTGGGTGGTTTCAGATGTTTGCTAACAGTGATTTGTATGCAGAATAAAAAGAACACAAAGACTGAAGCCACCTTTCAAATAATCATACACAAATAATTTACGTTGCTGTAAGTATAAGGCCAGCAGGTTCTTGCCTAGTGCAGTCACATATGAGGAAAATATTTCTGTTCTAAAGACTTCCCTTATGATAACTGTAGCTTAGGTTCTTAATTGTTCTTTGGCTTCGGAGATATCAGTTGAGTTTTAATTCCTAGGTGGCGGTCAGAGGGCAGGCGTCTTAGTCACTAAAGGAGGGACACAGATCTTATTGCAGTTGCTTTTGACTGCCAGCAAAGACTCTCCACCAACTGGAGAGTTAATGGTGCTTCTTCATACTCTTCTTGCAAAAATTGGTCCAAAAGGTGATAATGATATACGTACATAATATGGCTTAATACTTTGTAGTTTTATGATTGTAACTTCAAAAAAATTTTCTTTCTATTATTGTGTAAGCATGCATGTATTCAGAATTGGTAAAGGAGAACACAAAGATGAGTAAAATAGAGGGGAGGAAAGAATGATGAAAAATAGGTAAGCAGAGTTGACAGCAGAAGAAATTCACAGTTTGTTTAACTTTTTTTTTGATAACTTCAAAATTAGTGTGAATAATCTTGTATTTCTTTGACGTCAGACAAAAAGATTGGCATGAAAGCAAGAATTAATGGTGCCCTAAACATATCATTGAATTTAGTGAAGCAGAATTTGCAAAACCACAGGCTAATATTGCCATGTCTTCAAGTATTAAGAGTTTACTCAACCAACTGTAAGTACTGCTGATAGTTCTTTTTTTTCCCATGTGATACAAAAGTTTTTACCTAGATACAGTTGAAACATCCGATCTACATGCTTGTTCAATGTTAGATGTTTAAAATAATTATTTTTATCTGAGAATTCAAATTGCTTGAATTCTAATAAAAGCTGTGAAGCGTGCTTGTACATCTCGTGTGTCTTTGATTTTTATTCAGTTTGTGTGTGTGTGTATATATATATACAAACACTGCCGGGGGTTTTAACCAGTGCTATTGGATGTGTGAAACTGAGTCATCTAACTTTCATAAATGCTGATCCTTTAAGATTTAAACCAGAAATACTAACATTATGCTTGCGAAAGCACTTCAAATTAAATAATTATTCTTTTTATTATACACGCTCACTTATTTTTCTTTTTACTATTTTATTTCATTGTAGATCACTAATGTAAAACTTGGTTCACACAGGACATATTTTAATTATTTAACCTTTCCCTTCTTCATTGTGTTGAAGTGCCCTACTATTGGGCTAATACTCTTCCACAAGAGCCGAATTCATTGTCTGGGCAGGCAGTAGGAAGTTGAGGAAAGTAGTGTGTTTCTTGCTGTATCTCTGCTGTTGCTTATGTAAGAAACAAGCCCATGTATATATAAAAAAAGTTTTATTGGGGACAAAGTCAGTGGAGCAAAGAATACAGCACTGGGCACAAAGGGGCTCCCTTTTATTGTATAAATGGTTAAATATTTGTGAGAAACAAGCCCACGTATATATAAAAAAAGTTTTATTGGGGACAAAGTCAGTGGAGCAAAGAATACAGCGCTGGGCGCAATGGCGCGCCCTGGAGCCAAAAGGGGCTCCCTTTTATTGTATAAATGGTTACATATTCATCTACTCTAATACATATGCATCACTACTTCTAAGGATAGGGAGGGAATATTACAATTAGTTCCGAGAAATCATTAACATATCCCCCCCAACCCAAATTCCTCCCGTCGCGCTTGCGCAGTGCTCCCTGGTGGTCGTGGGCAGGGGTCTGCAGATGAAGGCTCGTAGTCTTCTTCACTGTGTTCGCTCGTTGACCCTTATTTCTGCGCAAACTCAGTCCTGTGGTCACGTACACCTTGTCCTTCAAGTCTGGGCTAATTTGTAGCTCTTTTGTCTTTATGGCTCAGTGGCTCCAGTTCCTCTCTTATCTCAAGAACAGGAGATAACAGAGAGGGCCCATCATGTTCTTTGCCATTCCATTGCAAAGGAGTTACCATCCTTTGATATGGACCATCTGGTGAGCATTCCAAAGGAAAAAGGGGTGGCTGTTGGGTTGTTGTTTCCTCTGATCAATTCCCCCTCCCTTCTCTTTTCCCACTAGTAAATTATTTCACTTTTCTTAAAATTTGTATCATTGTACTAATAATAGCTTCAGCCTAATTCAATAAAAGTAATTGTTTAATTACTTTTAGCGAAAGCAAAATTCTTCTATTATTTATCACAATCCACCTTTTTTTTTTTTTTTTTTAATACCATATTTTGCTTGAGCTTACTAACACTTAGTCTCATTCTTTTCTTAATATCATAACTTTGTGGGCACCAGCCACTGCTGCCATCTCAGGGTTTACCGGCATTGCTGTAATTGGCATCCCCTCAATAACATGAGATATTAGCTGTATAAAGCAAGGTATTGAACATGGTAAAAATAGTAAGCCCGCGACGGCACAAAGGAAGAAAAATTCAATCTTTTCCACCAGGAAGCTCCTAATAGATCATCCCACCATTCTGAGTCTAACATTGAGGGTGTTTATGGTCTTGGTTACCCAGAGCACCAGTAGGTTAAACAGCTCTTATTCTATCTGCTATGTGCAGCTGTCGCCTTAATGTTTTTGCCGTGTGTTATTTATTCCTTGCTTTGTTCAGTTAATCCAACATGTTGTGACCAACATGCAATTTGCTACTACTGTTTCACCTGTTGGCGTTAAGCAAATTCGGGCTGTGTGCCGAACTGCACAGTCAGCCGTACTATCAGACACTCTGTAAACAATAATCAACAATTTATTAGCAAACAAGAACCTGAAATAATTAACTGTATAACAATACAGCAAAGTCCCACGCGACACAATCAGAAAGAGAAAAAGTAAGAACCAAAGATATCAGCACTGTCCTTTGGATGTTGTCCTTCGATGTCTTGTTACCCTTACTCACGGGGCGATAGCGATCGAAAGATAGAAAGAGTCCAAGAACAACAGTCACGCGCCGCGTGGTAACTCCTCTGATCAATAACATTTTCTTCTTTGAACTATAAGTCTGTTTCCATCACCTCATCAAGGTTTCGAGGGCGTCTTAGTTGTCTTCGTGATCTTGGAGGATTGGGGGGAGGAGGTGATCTTCTCCGACACCAGCCACGAGACATTCCCTCGCATACCGCGATGGCAACGACAGTCACCACCAATATAATGAAAAATCCCAACAGCAGGCCGGCGCACACGGGATCGTCCCCTACTCCCATCTTCCCAAGATTGCAATCCAGTGGGATCAGTAAGATTAGTGGGATAGTCCAGCCCCAGGCTAGCGGCTTGACCGAGGAAGGTCCAAGTGCGCAATGAGCGGAAGTTTCTCTTCCACCCAGAATGCCTGTGCTGCCTAGATCTGGGCGGGCCTGGCAGTTGTTTTTGCCATCCGGGTATAGCCGAACTTTCGAGACCCTCCAACAACACATGCGCTTTGGACTGGGGGCGTGGAAATCCATTTTCCTGCTGCGTATGTGGACCCTGACTCCTGATCCCTACAGACCAGGCAGGTTCACCACTTGCGCTCTCACTCTTGTACCTCCGATACCGCGAAAACAATGGAGCGTGCTTATGCATGGGCAGCAATTTATTGTGCAGCCTCGATGTTGGTAGCCCTCACTTTGTTTGCCTTTTTACTACATATCTTTTGCCCTTGTAAATGTTCCTCTTTCAAGTGCCCATGTAGTTGTATCTGCTTATGTAAACCACCATCTCCTTTGGTTAACCATGTCGAAAATTCTGTTATAGGTCTTTTCGGCGGTTTTGGTACTGGCTGTTTTACTTCTGTCACATCTTTTACTTGGATTCTCTTCTTCCCACTAAAAATATCTCCATCCACCCTTCTGTCTTTGGGAAAGCAAAGCCACTCTGATGTTGGACATAACAGTAAAGCACTTGCTGCACAAATTTGCCACTATTAAAGCAAACCATACCAGGATGATTAGCAGAGGTCCGATATAACATATACTCCCACCTCTCATGCCTATGGGGTTGCAGCCCACAGCTGAGATACAAGTCTTCCTGGTGGCGAGCACAGAGGTTAACCCGGTCTTGCCCTCTACTATTTAACGAATCCATGTGTTAAGAGTTAGTCAATTCAAGTGCAGCTCCTTTGTAGCCACTTCCTTTGTTTCTAAGCAAAGCAAAATTTTTTGGCACTTCCTGATAGTGTCCTCCTATCAACTCTCAGGGACATCACAAATTCTGGGGACTAACCTCTTTTTCCCGTAAATCAAGGTTACAGTTCATGCCCCTTCCCTATACAGTTATAAGACAATTTTCTCCATCTGCAAGAAATACCACATCCGGTAACACATTTCACATTCACACAAAACCCACGCTTCATGACATCCATACATACACTCGAGACAGGTATTACCCTATTAGGTTGATTTTCTAGCAATGCCTAATTGACTCCAAAATGCTCATAATCTCACATGTCTGTCAGTTAATGCTCGGTAAACACCAGCTTTTCCCTGATAGGTTTTTTGTGTTTTTTTTGTGGGGTTTTTTTTGTTTGTTTGTTTTTGTTGTTGTTGTTGTTGTTGTTTGTTTGTTTTGTTTGTTTTTTTGTTTTTGTTTCCTTATACAGCAAGTAAGTAAATGAATAAGTAAATTTTCACAGTGTTACCTCTGAACCCAGTCAAAAACCCAGTCAAACCACTGGTTAAGAGTCATTCAATCCCCTCCTGATGAATTTACTTAGTCCTTTGAGGGTGACTTGTAGTTGGTCAGTTGATGGTACCACAGTCCACTCCTGAGGCTTTTCCACCGGTCCTTTTCCTCAGGAGGCAAGAGTCCACCCCTTTTCTTTTGTTCGGATCGCTGTCTCGGTGGTCAGCAGCACCTGAAATGGACCTTCCCACTCGGGAGTTAATGATTAATCTTTCCACACTTTTATCAATACCCAATCACCTGGTTTTACATTGTGGATATTAAAAGCCAATGGTGGTATTTGAGGCAGAAGCCCTTTCTTTTTTTTTCTTTTTTTTTTTTTGTTTCATTAAAGTGTTAGCAATTCTTATTACATACTTTCTTACATACTGATCTCCTACTTCAGGGGTGACAGTATCCCTGTTATTACTCATAGATGGTAATCCAAACATCATTTCATAGGGAGAAATTCCCAGGTCTGTTTGTGGCTCAGTATTGATCCTTAATAAGGCCAACGGCAGGCATTTAATCCAAGACAACTGAGTCTCAATCATTAACTTAGTCACGGTTTGTTTTAAAGTTTGATTCATTCTTTTCTCCTCTTCCAGAACTCTGAGGA